TCTTATGGATTGTAATATAATAGTAAATCACTTATTATGTATTTGCCTGTGGTTTGAGAATTGTTAGCCACTCTAACTATTCTCTCAATTCATCAAATTAACCACAACTTTGTGTTTCAACCACAGATGGATAATTAATTTGCATTATAGTCTGCCCAGTTAGAATTGACATGCGTGGGGCAATTTGGTCTCTATATTTACGGTTCAAGAACGTTTGAGGTTCCTTGTACCTGATCTATGTTTGTTGTACGTGTGAAACAGAAAGAGAACAAAAAAGAGGGAGCTGGGACCTGGTGCAGAGCAGCCAAGGAAAGATTGCTACTTTCATAGTAGTAGCGTTCCCCTGTTTTTATCACTCTTGAAACAGGGCTGAGAGTTGAAATTGACCACACAGTCCTGGTTGATGCAATCTGTCCTTGCTGATAGATATTATTTTATAAGATAATCTTTGTTACTATTTTCTAAACTTAAAAACAATACAGGTGTTGTAGAAAATATAGGGAAATATCAAGGAGTAAATAAGTTGCCAGTAATCCATCACCCAGAGACAGCCACTGTTAAAAGATAGGTTAATATGTAAAGATGCTGGATAATTACTTTGGATCTTTTTCTTGTGTTTAATTGAAATTATATTATTTTATACAACTTTATAACCTATTTTTACCTAGCCTTATAAGCATTTCATATATAGTTGGTAAGTTCTTTTAAAAAGTTTTATAGCTGTATTAACCAATGTATGGATATACCAGAACTTAACTATTCTCAATTCTCAATATTCTCCTCTCCCCTCCTTCCCTTTTCCTCCTCTCTCCCAACCCCTGGGGTTATTTTTTTAGGCTGCATTCTTAGAAGTGTAATTTTACCAGATCAAACTTCTAAGCTCTTATTGAGGGATAGGAGGACATATCAAGAGATATCATTTTCAAGAGATAATACCAGTTTATGCCCCTTCCAGTAGTGTATGAGAATGCCTGTCTCCCACACTTCTGCTAGCATTGTGTGTGATTGGTTTTTGGTATTACTTGGTTACAATACATGGGTAAGTACCCACGAAAGTACACCTCAGACGTTTGGGTATTCTTGTCTCATAGTTTATCTTCTAAATATAGAGAAAATAGGAACAATCTTATAAGAAGTACCTCATCCTCCTTCCATCACATTGACCCTCCTTCACCTGTTGTGCCCCAATAGTCTGCCCTCCTTCTCCTTACGGGGGGGATGAACCCTCACTTGTTCTTAGCTGAGACTGATGCTTCTCCATATGTGAGCTAGATTCGCAAACCCTTTAATCCCTTCAGGAAATTTCTCTCCTCTTGCCTTATTAATTTCTCACTTTCCATAGATCGTTCTCATCAGCATGAAAGCAAGCCTTCTATGGCCCATCTTTAAAACCAAACAAAGCAAGAAATCTCTACCCCTCGTCCCCCCTCCAGCTCCTATTCCATTTCTCCTTTCCCCTTCCCTCCAAAACTGCTTGCTCACTTGTGTTATCTTTACTCATTTTTGTGCTTCCATTTTCTCCCCAACCCACTGCAGCAACATTGATCCTTTTAAACTATAATGTTTGAAAAGTCTAACACTTGGCTGTTGTGTAAATGTAAAATACATGTGTCAGATATTTTATTTAATTAATAATAGAACCAGTAAGATATTAAGAGCAGTTCAAAGGAGAATTTGAAGAACAAACATAGATGGTTGGGTATAAGGAGATGAATTTGCTAATAGAAGTGGAACTGGTTAATATCCTGCGGGGCAGTGAAGGGTACTTTGGAAGGGTCATTTTTCTATAGGTCGAAAATCAATTGCATCATTAAAAGACAAAATTCATTTTTGTTGCTACAGGCAAGAATCATTAGCATGGCTATCCATTTTCTATGACTTAATTTCCTACAGAGTTGTAAAATAACCTAGTCGTTACAAGGGCAGATAAAGGGTTAGTATCCAAAATTCATAAAGAGTTTATCAAACTGAATATGCAAAAAACAAATAATCCGGTAAAGAAATGGACAGAAGACACGAGTAGACTTTCAGATGGCTAACAGACACATGAAAAGACAGGTGTCTCAACATCAGGCATCAGGGAGATACACATCAAAACCAAGATAGAGGCCACCTCACACCTGTAGAACGGCTAAAATTACAACTCAAGAAACAACAGGTGTTGGCGAGGGTGTGGAGAAAGGGGAACCGTCTTACACTGTTGGTGGGAATGCAAACTAGTGCAGCCACTCAAAAACAGTATGGAGGTTCCTCAAAAGTTAAAAATAGAACTACCCTATGACCCAGCAATTGCACTAAGTATTTACCCCAAAGATACAAAAATACTGATTCAGCAGGGCTCCTGCACCCTAATGTTTATAGCAGCATTATCAACAATAGCCAAATTATGGAAAGAGCTCAAATGTCCATCGACTGACGAATGGATAAAGAAGATATGCCATATATATACATATATATAGAGAGAGAGAGAATAGAATAGTAACCGTTAAAAATAATGAAATCTTGCCATTTGCAATGACATGGGTGCAACTGGAGTGTATTATGCTAAGCGAAGTAAGTCAGAAAGACAAATACCATATGATTCCACTCATATGTGGAATTTAAGAAACAAAACATGGAGGAAGGAAGGGGAAGAAAAAAGAGAGAGGCAAACCATAAGAGACTCTTAGCTATAGAGAACAGAAGGGTTGCTGATGGGGAGGTGGGTGGGGGATGGGCTAAATGGGGATGGGTATTAAGGAGGGCACTTGTGATGAGCAGTGGGTGTTGTATGTAAGTGATCGATCACTGACTTCTACTCCTGGTACCAATATTACACTATATGTTAACTAACTAGAATTTAAATAAAAACTTAAAAAGAAAAAGACTCTATAAAGTCAACTAATCCTCAAGATTCCTCTAGACCACACCCAGCACCGTGCTGATATGATATACAATAATTTCTTTTGCCCATTCTGCCCATTTCCAGGTGTTGGACAATTTTTCCTGATAATCCCCACTATACCCATGACCTTCTTGCCAAAGCCAGTGGTCTGTCCTTAACTGACTGCACCTCTTAGCAATATTCAAAGCATGGAACACTCCTTGAAAGACTTCTGCATGCTTTGTATACCACATTCATCTAACCCACCCCTACCAAACCCCCCCCCACCCGTTTCAGTCACCTCTCTTAGTCTCGTGCTGGCCTGTAAATACCAGAGTGCCCCGTGTATCTCTAGCGCTGATCTCTCCCTGAGTTCCAGACTCTTAACTACCTATATCCGATGATCAACTCTAATCTAAGCCACCATCATCTCTTTCTAGAACTATTCTATAAGGCTTTCCATTGTCCTGTGTGCTTCTACTCCAGTCTTCTACAGTTGATTCTTCACTCCGCAGCCAGAGTGATCTTTTTAAAGCATGCCATCCCCCTCTGCTTAAAACACACCAACGCGGGCGCCTGGGTGGCTCAGTTGGTTGAGCGACTGCCTTCGGCTCAGGTCATGATCCCGGAGTCCCGGGATCGAGTCCCACATCGGGCTCCCTGCTGAGCAGGGAGTCTGCTTCTCCCTCTGAACCTCTTCTCTCTCATGCTCTCTATCTCTCATTCTCTCTCTCTCAAATAAATAAATAAAATCTTTAAAAAAAAAAAAAACACAACACACCAACGGTTTCTCCTTGCAACCAGAATAAAACCAAAGCTATTCTCGGCTCCTGAGGGCCCTATGTGATCTCACCTTCCCTATTTCATCTCTCTTTATGCCTTCCCTTCTTTTACCATGCACTAGTCAAAGTAGTCTTCTTTCTGTACCATGAATACACCAAACTTTTTCAGGGACTTTGTATTGTTGGTCCTTCCCGGCAAAGATAGCCTCTATGTCATTTAGATCTCGATGTAAACATCACCTGAGAGATGTCTTTCCCAACCACCTTAGCTAAAGTAGCTCATACTCCCAGTCTCCCCATTACTTTACTCTGTTTTCTTCTCTTCATAGTCCCAGTTAGTGTCAGAAATCTTACTATCATTTGTAATTATTCTTCCTTTCTAGGATGAAAGTTTGAGGGTAAGAACTTTTGTCTTGTCTTCCACTCTGTCTTGGTGTCTACAGTGGTACCTGGTACAAAGTATGTGCTCACTAAGTATTTGCTTACTGACTAAAAGATGGTTCATCCCAGTTGTATTCACCATCCTCCCTTGGTTTTCTAGAAAGCCTATAGGAAACAAGATGGTAGAAAAGCAAAGAGTCTTTGCTAGAAAAGCAAAACAAAGACTGGCTTTGAGAGAAAGTAAAACACTGCTCTCGACTGTGGTTGAAATGGTGACGCTTCCCTTCCTCCATATTCTTGTCTCCGTCTTTTCCCACCATAGGCTCGCACAATATTTAGGGAGAAGGCAGGAAAGAACTTAGTTTTGGAGAACAAAAGAGGTCTCCTTAGCTTTGGGTTTGGAAAAGGGTGGGCTTTGGTACGGATTTTCAGTTTGGGAGAAGATGAAAAAGTAAGTTTAGAGATGGATGGTGGTGATAGTTATGCACCAGTGTAACTATACTTAATGTCACTGAGTTGTACACTTAAAATAGTTGAGATGGTAGATTTATGTATGTTTTATCACAATTTTTTTTAATTTAAAGATGGGGAGGAAGGCTAGGACTTTCTATAAAGGCTTTTGTGATTGGGTGAGTCCTATTGATGGGCTTGTATATTCTTTTTTTTTAGATTTTTATTTATTTATTTATTTGAGAGAGAGAATGAGATAGAGAGAGCATGAGAGGGGGGAGGGTCCGAGGGAGAAGCAGACTCACTGCTGAGCAGGGAGCCCGATGCGGGACTCGATCCTGGGAATCCAGGATCATGACCTGAGCCGAAGGCAGTTGCTTAACCAACTGAGCCACCCAGGCGCTGATCTTAGCATACGAGTCAGGTTAAAGTTGTCTTTCGATTCAAATTTTTGAGATCGCCAGGGCTTCTAGAGGCTGGAGAAAGTCAAGAATTTTTGGCCTTGTTTTTCTCTTTTTATTTAGGGAGGCAGATTGCCATGGGAAGTACCTTCACTTCTGGAAGGCCAGAGAAGACATGGGAGAACTCCGGAAGACAAGTAGTAAGGAACTGGCTTCTTCAGAGGCAGCAGAGCAGAGTGGGAAGGAGAGGGCCTGAGTCACTTAGCTCTGTGACTGTGGACAAAGTCATTTAATCATGAGAAGTAGGGTTTCCTGACTTTCAGGAGTGTTGGGAAGAGAAAAGATAAGATGCCTAGCACAGTGCCTGCTGTATAAGTGCCCCATAAGTGGTAGCTCCTCCAATTGTAAGGACTTGCTCACCATGTCACGTCCCCTGGAATTGTCTGATGGAAGAACGAAAGCAGAAACTTTAGTTCTCACTTCCAGGTGACCCTGGCCATTCCATGACCCTAGATGAGAAGTTGGAATTCTCAAGCCCAGTTTCAGAGTAAAGATTATATGGAGGTTTGGAACTGCCTGGTGCTGGATCTCTTGAGAATCTAAAGCATTGTAGCATGGTATTATGTGAGGTATACGATTGTGATGGGAAGTTTCTGGGTTTTGTTTTGACTGTGCTGAGTTGGAAGGCTGAGTTCTTAGCAATGAATGACCTGATCTGTTGCAAGAGAAACAAGTTGCAATCTGTATCTTGATCTGGTTGGGAGTGGATAAATGTAAAAATTTATCAAGCTGCATGCTTCTTATCTGTACACTATATGAACTTCAAAGCTCACTTAAAAAAGGGAGAGAGAAAGAAATGGACTACATTACACACACTTTTAGAAAGGATTATTGCTTCTAGGTTTGACTCACCAAAACCTTTAACAAGAGAGGTGAAGCTGGGCAAGGAGTGGTAATGCCAATTGCAAATGTCATATAAAGCATTAATTTGGAGAAATAATCATTGGAATAATTAATATAATGCGTGGTCTCCTCATGACGGATTAACTTCTGTCTTCTTTATATTCCAGTTAGAAGTATCCATGGAGAACACTGAACACTCAGTGGATGCAAAATCCATTAAAAATTCAGAAATGTGAGTATTTCTAATGCTATCCTTTATAATCAGGGAAAGATGTGTATGTAATACAGCAAACTTTAAGGAATGGGGGAGCAGAAAAGGCTTTCAAACCAGAGAGAACCAGCTGACTTCTTACCTCAACACCTGAGTGGCTTTTGCACACGTTAACTTATCCTCCCTGAACCTTGTCTTTAAAAACAAACTTTCACGAAACTGTGGGGAGGATGGAGGGAAAGATGAGGTATAGTGCCTGACCCACAGTCAGAATCTCCAACCTGGAAGCAGAAGGACGCGACAGAAGAGGCAGAACTCGCAAGTCTGGATGCCTCTGTGCCTTCCTAAATCCGTCTGCAGGATGAGACCTTTTGTGTTTGCAGGAGATTTTTGGCTTTCTGTCTATTTATGAGTTGTTGTTGTTGTTGTTGTTGTTGTTTCTTAAGATTTTATTTATTTCTTTGCCAGAGAGAGAGAGCACAAGCAGGGGGAGCAGGAGGCTCCCCGCTGAGCAAGGAGCCTGATGCGGGACTCGATCCCAGAACCCTGGGATCATGGCCTCAGCCGAAGGCAGGCGCTTAACCAACTGAGTCACCCAGGCACCCCTATTTATGAGTTTTAAGGCTAAAATGAAATGCCAATTCTGAGTCTGGGGAAGAATTGATTGATTTTAGATGAGCTTGTACCCTTTGTTCTTCTGTCTTCCTCTTTGCAGTACTTCGCTTAATAATGCTTCCCCTAAACCCTAACCAGATGATGGAGAAAGGAAGAAGATAAAATGCAAACACCCTGGGCGCCTGGGTGGCTCAGTTGGTTGGGTGGCTGCATTCGGCTCAGGTCATGATCCTGGAGTGCCTGGATCGAGTCCCACATCGGGCTCCCTGCTAGGCGGGGAGTCTGCTTCTCCCTCTGACCCTCTTCCCTCTCGTGCTCTCTATCTCTCATTCTCTCTCTCAAATAAATAAATAAATAAATAAATAAATAATAAAACACCCTTCATGTAATTCATGTCATTATCCCCTTGGGATCTCTTGTGGAGCTTTTAATTCTAAAGAAAGTTTCTTCTGAGACCCAGTATTATTATTTTGGACAAAAATAGTAGTAATTATTTAGTGATCTTAGTACTAAACAGAAGTATTACAGAACAATTAACAGGTTACCAATAAAGGTTTAGCAGTGTCTGTTTAGGTAAGGAGATTTTAGAAACGAAACTTTTGAAATACAATCTCTTTTAGAAAGTTTGGGGTCTTATTTTCTTTAAACCTTTTAAGTGATTTATAAATTTTCCTACCTTCTCATATCATACAGAATATAATTTAATAGCAAATTGCATGGGAGCCCAAAACAGATTTAGGTCTGTTTTTATCCGATGATGAGTTATCTCCGCGTCCCTCAGCTTTTTGAGTCTCTGCTGTGCATCAGGCGTGTAGTATCCTATTGCTATCTATGATCTGTATGATCTTCAACAAGTCACTGAGTATTAATACTTTCTGAGTATTAATTTTCTCACCCATAAAACATGGGGATCTTCACTTTAGTTAATATAATCGTTTCTGACCTTGACTGCTTTAATTTACTATTTTAATTTTTTTCCAAAAATGTTTTTAGAATTGTATGTAACGTGAAATATACTCAGGTTAAATGCGTGAGGACGTGGACTTTACGTTTTGATGTTTGGCTGTTCCTAGACCTGGTATGTCCTGATCTCTGGCCTAGATCGGGGTTCAGGCTTGCAGTCTATTTTGGTCAAGTTTTATTGGAACCCAGTCACACACATTCCTTTACATGTTGTCTTGGGCTACTTTCACCAGCAGAATGGAGTAGCTGCTTCATCAGAGCCTCAAATACTTAATGTGTGGCTCTCTTGAAAAAAAGTTTTTTGACCCTGGTCTAGATAACAGAGGTTTTTGGATAAGTGACCTTCAGACAAGTATTTTCAGTTCTTTGTAACAGTGATTCTATGTATTAACTCTTAATTTGTTCAGCTTGTAGTATTTAAGGAACAATTTAGGACTTGTGAAAAATACCGTGCTTTGAGTCCTGTCTGCATTTTGTCGGTTTCCTCTCATTTCCAGGGTAATTTTTAAGATCTTACTCTTACCTTGAGAGATAAATATCTCACAAGTTATAATAAATTTAAGAATTTTAAACTATAAAATGTATTTGGTGAGATTTTGTAAAAATTTAGAGGAGAACTTAAAATGTAGAGAGCAAAAGCCTGAACTCTGAAGTCCGACAGGTATGACACAGTGTCTGCGTAACCCTCAGCACTGAGCCTCACCGCACTCATTTCCACATCTGTGAAATGGTTTCTCACAAAATTTAAATCAGGAAGGGCCTGTAGCACACAGCCTGACATTCGTTCAACAAATGTGAACTGTTCTTATGTGTTACAAAAGTTGTATTAATGTAAACAGCGGCATCGGTCATTTCTGCCTTTGTAAACTGTTGTTTGATTTCCAAACAGAAAGATCTTACATGGAAGCAAATCAGTGGACTCTGGAATGTCCTTGGACAACAGTTATAAAATGGATTATCCTGAAATGGGTTTATGTATAATAATTAATAATAAGAACTTTCATAGAAGTACTGGTATGTATCCTAATGTAATTTTTAGCCCTCTTCAAATATTGTACCATTTACGTTTGGTATAATATGAAAAATGGAACTGATGTTATCAGTTAGTAAACAATAACACAGAATAGCCACAGAGTATAGATAGAGCAGAACCCTACACATCCTCCATCACAAACTCTTGATCTTCTGCCCATCATCAGAATTTCTCCCTCTTCCAACAGCTACCTCCCATCTGTATGTTGGCTCTTCTGCCCCGACTTCTGTGTAACCCTTGCTTCTTTATCCTTCCGTTCCCTCTTTCATTCTAATAGAAGGAGCACAACAAATAAGGAGTAGTATTTTTTTCTTTCCAAGAACTGCGCAAGGCACCTCATTGGTATTATCTCATTTAATTTTTACAACAACTCTGAAAAGTAACCGCTATTGGATGCTGAAAGGTTAAAATTCTGACACAGAGTTCACACAGGTCATTTAGTAGCAGAGCTGGGACTTGGCCTTGGTGTGTCTGACCACCCGCCACGCCCAGTCTGAGCTCTGAATCCACCTCCTGCACTGCTTCACTTCTTTGTATCTTCATTCGCTCTACTGACTTTTTCCTTTTCCCCCACAAAAATGACAGAACCCCATCTTAAAGAGACCTTTCTTTTACCCTGCTTCCTCTTAAGCTTTGATCTGATTTTTGTCTCCTCTAAATTTTGAAAACATGTGCTTTAAGCTTGCCATCTTCACTTCTTTATCCCTCTTGAATCTGTTTTCTGTTTTCTACCTCTACCTCTACCGAAACTGCTCTCTTAGGTTCACCGTGGCCTGATCACCAAATCTCCCTTCTCAGTCTCTATACTGGGTGTGACTTGAATCTACTAATATGGTTCAGACTTTTTTTTTTTTAGAGAATATAAACAATAGAATCCCTTACAATCCCAAAAAGTTAATTAATATCTTGATGTGTTACTTGATTCTTTTTCCTGACAGTTTCTTTCAAAGCTTAATTTCATTTGTAATATGTAAGCAATAATTTATCCTGCTTGTTCCATTTAATGTAATATAAGCATTTTTTACGTTGCTATATAATTTTCAGATCTTTTAATGATTACATAATATTCCACTTGCTTAATTTGCATAATTTACCATATGAATGGACATTTGGGTTATTTCTCCATTATTTTTATATTGATGCTGTGATAATTCTTTGAATTGACATATTGGTCACATTACTGGACTTAATTTTTAATTAAAGAAATTAGAAGCAGCAGATCCACCTTAGGAGGCCATCTACTGGGCTGGTGGTAAAAATGGCCAGAAGAATCCAGGTTGCACTGGAACGATAAGTAGAGCTTGGTGTTAGACTAGTTAGAAGGAAAGAGTAATTGGAAAAATGGGTGTCTGATTCTGAATGGGAGCCTTTGTATTGCTTTTGGCTGTAAGCTGAGATGCCACCTTCAACCATCAGATACTCTGCATCACGTTGCTGGTTATGATGCCCACTTCCTGTAGAATTTTACATTGTGGAACCTATTCTTTAACAACCATAACAACAAAATACTTAACCCAGGAGTCTGGCTTTAGCATTCAAGTGAGCGCTTCCTCTGCTTTGAAATGTGAAGGTCAGGTCCTCACAGTGATCTCCTGACAGTCTCGTGTGGCTCACAACCCAGGACTGGAATTCACTCACCTTGTCACATAGCTGCATGGTGTCCTCAGACTCTCCAAAGTCAAAACTTTGATAGGCTTATTTTAATTTTATAAACATTACCTACGGCCATAATAGAAATTTCAGAAACTACAGATTAGCAAAAGAAAAAAACATTAAAATCACGCATAGTCACACTATTCAGAGATGCTCTATCAACGATATTTTTTAGGCACAGACATTGAGTCTTTTTTCCCATTCATACATGTTAATAATTTACTCAGATCTAAGGTGTGTCCTCCCTAATGCTTTAGCCTTTTTAGATCTGAGTGCATTGTCTAGTCAGTCTGTACGTTTATGTGGAGGGTACCGGAAAGGAGGGACAAAAGCTCGGGACCCCTGGGTACCAGCCTAACGCTAGCCTTATTACTTTCAACAAGTTCCTGAACTTCTCTGTGCTCCCTGTCCCACATCCGTACAAGTGAAGTTGGTCACAATCACTGTCTCACTGGTGTTTGGAAGGTTGAAGAAACTACTCATAGCAGGATGCCTGGTGAACAGTATTAATGTGGTAGTGATTTGTGGAGCGGGGTGGGGAGGCTTCTGAAAACATATTATTAAAGTAGTAACGGATCTGAAAATTGTTGGGAACTTAAAATAAATACACTTCCTCTATGTGTGTGAGATGTGTGTATTGTTATATATACCATTTTTTCTTAAGCAAAAGTAGGATCCTATTGTTTTATAGTTTTTTTAATACAGTGACCATTTCCCATGGCAAAATTTTGTCTACAGAAATTTTTTTTTAAGATTTATTTATTGGGGCGCCTGGGTGGCTCAGTTGGTTAAGCAACTGCCTTCAGCTCAGGTCATGATCCTGGAGTCCCGGGATCGAGTTCCGCATCGGGCTCCCTGCTCGGCAGGGAGTCTGCTTCTCCCTCTGACCCTCTTCCCTCTCGTGCTTTCTATCTCTCATTCTCTCTCTCTCAAATAAATAAATAAAATCTTAAAAAAACAAAAAGATTTATTTATTTATTTGAGAGACAGAGAGTGAGTGAGCAGGGGCAGGGGCAGAAGGAGAGAGAGAATCCCAAGTAGACCCTGAGCTAAGCTTGGAGCCCAATGCAGGGCTCAATCCCACAACCCTGAGATCATGACCAGAGCCAATATCAAGAGTCAAGACACTCAACCAACTGAACCACCCAGGCACCCCATGTCTACAGAAATGTTAATGGCAACACAGTATTCCATTATGTAAATGAATCATAATTTATATAACCAGACTTCTCTCATTAAGCATTTCAGTTGTGTTTTTCACTATCTAAGCAGCTGTGAAAGATATCTTTATGACCATAACACTGATACAGTTTATGTTATGAAGTGTCTTATATGCTAAGAAACTAAAGAGACTTTGTGTTACCATGATGAAAGTCATTGAATTTTCTTAGCAGTTGAAAAGAAGAATTTATTGTGGATTGTGTGACTTGCTGAATAGTTTATTTCAGAGCAGTTACTTTTTTTCTTTTATGCAATTATAAGTAATCCTTTCTGTTTTCAAGGAATGACACCTCGATCTGGTACAGATGTAGATGCAGCAAACCTCCGGGAAACATTCACAAACTTGAAATATGAAGTCAGGAATAAAAATGATCTCACATGCGAAGAAATTTTGGAATTAATGGACAGTGGTAAGAAATAATTAATTTTTTTTAATTGTCTAATTTATATTATGGTGTAGCTGTAATTACAATAATAAAGCACGAGAACTATGGCACCATACTCTATATAATCCCACATTTTATATACATAAAATAAAAGTTATTCATGCCACCTCCCTAACGTGGCTTGAGGTATGTTGACTGCCCCAAACTGGGTTTCTGTGATCTCTCAGTCCTGTCTTCAAGTTTCTTTGTCTTCCTCCTGTATAGTTTATGTAGGAGATTGATGGGTGAATGAAGTTGTATTGGTTTTTTATATGTCTTCTTTCCTTACTTGTAAACATTTTTCCAGTCTCTAAAGAAGATCACAGCAAAAGGAGCAGTTTTGTTTGCGTGCTTCTAAGCCATGGGGATGAAGGAATAATTTTTGGAACAAATGGACCTGTTGACCTGAAAAAATTAACAGGTTTCTTCAGAGGGGATTACTGTCGAAGTCTGACTGGAAAACCCAAACTTTTCATTATTCAGGTAATCTATACCTAAACAACTTGGTTACTGAGGATTAATCAGGGATTAATTTACTCATTTGTGGATTAGCCAGTGGATTTATTTTTTTCCCCTGAAGCTACTCAACTACTGTAACTTTTTTATTCAGTTAAGCTACCACTTACAAGATAGAGAATAAATGTTCCTTTTAGACTTGTATCAAAAAGATTCCTTATTTTAACATCCATTTTTACACAGCCTTTACATTTCTTAGAAATAACAGGAATGTGTCTACACACATACAGTTTTGTTTTTGTTTTTGTTTTTTGTTGTTGTTGCTTGTCCTTTGGTTTTTTGTTTGTTTGTTTTTACACATACAGTTTTTAATAAATTTTTTTTTAAGTAAGCTCCACACGCAGCGTGGAGCCCAACCCAGGGCTTGAACTCATGACCCTGAGGTCAAGACCTGAGCTGAGATCGACAGTCGGACATGCAACCGACTGAGCCACCCAGGCGCCCTTAAATGCTTATTTTCTAACCGCTAGGCCTGCCGAGGCACAGAACTGGACTGCGGTATTGAGACAGACAGTGGAGCCGATGATGACATGGCCTGTCAGAAAATACCAGTTGAAGCAGACTTCTTGTATGCCTATTCTACGGCCCCTGGTAAGACAGTTACCAATAATGAACATTACCTGGAGATTCTAGACACAAAGCAAGTGTTCCAAAGGCTGCCAAGATTTTGACATTCATAAGCAGCTAACTGGTCTGTATTTTAGGTACCTCAATGACAGAGATGTGTCAGAAAGTTGTCTTTAGCAAAGTTTGGCTGGAAAATGTGCATTTATAAGAAAGTGGGAGGATGGGTAACTGGGTGATGGGTATTAAGGAGGGCACGTGTTGTGATGAGCACTGGGTGTTATACATAACTAATGAATCATTGAACACTACATCAAAAACTAATGATGTATTATATGCTGTCTAACTGAACATATTAAAAAAAAAAATAAGAAAGCATACTTCCACAGTATCCTTCATGAACTTAATGCCAGAGAGGATACTATATTGCAATATAGAGTAATGAATCGTAATCTTGTGATATGGTACAATATGTGCTATATTGTCATATGCATGGTAATCGGCTAAGAGCTTCGTCCACTTCTTAGAATAGGATAGAGGTAGGTTTTCCAGGAATTCTTTGGAAGATAGGAAATAATGAAAATAAACCTGAATGGTGTGTGAGAAAGTAAAGTGGAATGAGGGAAAAGAAATAGGTTATTCCACGTTTTTGTGGTTGTGTTATACCTGTCCTCCTATAAATAAGTGTTGATTGATCATGCAATTTATTATACAGCTAATTCAGGGTGTCACAAAGTTTGGAAATAGAGGACAAATGTATTTTTAAAGAATGTTACATTTTTAAATATGCTCAACATGATTTCTTTTTAACCTCAAGACAGTTCCAGGTAAAGTACTTCCAAATTAGAAGCTATAGATCCAAGAGTTAATCTGAAAAATGTACAATGAATACACTGTGTTCCCTTTTTTGGAGTTTTTGAATACTCTGTAATGTCTTCATCATACTTTACTCGGATGCCTTGTAGACAAGTTTAGGACATGCAAATGTGTGTGCATACACAAGCAAGTGATTGCTTGGATGAATCAATAATCTGATGGCAACACCATGCTCCTTACAATGGTGCCTCTTTCACATTTGCTTCTGCATCTTGTGCATGTTTCCCTCTTCCTCCCTGTGAGAAGGGAAACCCAGACAAGAAAGCTCACCGTCATTCAGCGGGGAAGGTAGTCCACACTCTTTCCCTTGCCAAAAGCAGAGGTGTATGCACATCACCACCCCCCACCCCCCGTACCAGCATCATCTCCCCTGAAACGAGAGGTGTTGTTTATTTCCCTTTTTTATGGCTAGTAATGCTTGTGGAAGTTTGTGCTTGTTTTTACCTTTATGATTATGTAATAATCTATAAAATCAGATACTCATGGTACTTTGGTTGTTATTCTGCCTCATAGGTTACTATTCCTGGCGAAATTCAAAGGACGGATCCTGGTTCATCCAGTCACTTTGTACGATGCTGAAACTATATGCTCACAAGCTTGAATTTATGCACATTCTTATTCGGGTTAACCGAAAGGTAGCCACAGAATTTGAGTCCTTTTCTCTTGATTCTGCTTTTCATGGAAAGAAACAGATTCCGTGTATTGTGTCTATGCTAACAAAAGAACTGTATCTTTATCACTAAAGCTGGATGGTTTTTTGGGTTGTTTTTCTTTTTAAGTTCATATGCCAAGTGAGGAAATGGTTTAACCAATCCTATATTTTCCTCTCATTTAAATCTAATCGAATACTTCACATGGTACTTTAGAACCTGCTACTTTCATAGCAATAGAACTATGAGGCTGCCTCAGACTCAGAATCAGGTAGTCGACATCGAATTTAATTAGGAATAAATAAAAATGGATAGTAGTACAATCGTTGTGAGAGGAAATGTTTCTAAATTAACGGCCCTGATAATTAGCAAGTTTTAGCGATGCTGTTATGAATTTTTGAGTAATCATGGAAGAAGTTAAACATTGTAGTTATGAATTAATGATCTTGATATGCTCCTATATGAGAGTATGTACTCTGGTTTTTGTCAAACTACAGACATGTTGGGGAATAATGTATCCTAGAATGTGGAGCTCCGTGAGCAGGGTCAACATCTTAAAGGACCTACCTTGATTTTTAGAATCAGGATTTGGGGATAAGGCAGCTGTATTTTTTGATCACTTATCTGAGCGCATGGTTTTTTGATGTTTGGCCCAAGCATGTCTTTGTTACAAAAAGTCATGTTTAGTATTGAAAAGGAAACTAAATATTTGACCAGAGGAAGTGTGAGCAAATCCCGTTGACTCTTGCGAGGCATTTAGCTAGATGCAGTGTTAACGGAGGGAGGCAGAATTAGAACCTCGAGGGGCTAAAATGCAGCTCATCCAGCAGCTTCCATATCCTGTCCTTTGTGCCTGAGCCAGTCTTTTGAGCTTCACATACCAGCAAAATATGTGAGGAGCTGTTATGTAAACATCTCAAACTGTCGATCACGCTGATAGCAGTGTGAATTGAAGAGATTCTACAGGAACATCCTAAAATACAACTTACATAATAACCAGTGAAATGCCGCGAAGAAACAGTAAATCAGTCAGCTGGGCATTCCATCGCTGGAAGGTGGTTTGAGCCTGAGCAGAGACACAGGTGGGCAACAGCCTTTGTGATGAGGGCAGAGCCCTAGACCGGCTTTGGAAAAAACACTGCTAGCTAGTTGTTTCGTACGGACTAGTGTGCTGGGAGGATGACACTCCCCCACCACCAGGGCAGGAATCTAACCAAAGAAAGCTATCATAAAGAATCTAGCAAGAAAGCTAACCAAATCAGAAATTTCTGAGATGGAAATTTTCCAAAGATGCCAACAGTCACAACAGAAACCATAGCACGTTTTATGGTACCATTTCTAAGCACGTTAAGTTATTTTCTGTTGAAGTGTACAGTCAAAGGTACAAAAAATGGTGGTTATAACGATGGACTGTTCACTGAAAGAAAGGCCCGTGGCACACAGGACCTTGGCAATCAGCAGACTCACCCCTCCTCTGGCGCGTGGGGAAGCGGCCCCCACCAGGAAGGCCAGCCTGCAGGCCTCCTCACTCAGGCAGGCCCTGAGCCCTTGCTGCATCCCGGGGCCTCACGGGTTTTGCAGTCTGACATTTCACGGGAGCTATCTTTTGCTCAAGGAAAGAAACACACATTTATAAATGACCACTCTTTGTTTCACCTATGGAACTTTCTCTAAGTAAATGAGGCATGTGATGGTATCCTGAGATGTGTTCCTGTGTGACTGTTTTGTAAACTTTTGTTATGCGTTTTTATTTCAAAATAGAAATTTGAACTTAAAATTACCAACATGTTCAAGTTTTTGTTGTTATTCTTGTTTCTGATACCATGCTACTCACTCTAGTTAAAAACAGTTTTAACCAAGAGCTGGGGCCTGATTTGGAAGGACCAAAGAGGATGCAGCAGGACCCTGTAATCAAATATTTTGAGATGATGGCAGATTACTAAATAGGATAAGTAGAGCTGTCTTCTTCCCAGGCCCTGTCATTGGAGCCTTGTTCCTAAGATGACCATGATGCCAGGAAGGGTAGCAGGTCTGCAGTCACAGTCCCTAAATATGACCAGGTTTTTGTTTGTTTCCTTGCTTTGCGGAATGGTAACAGAGTATAAAGAATATTGGCTGAAGGACAACATTTTCCACCACATACATTTTCAACAGGGCTAATAGAAGGGGAAAAAGAGCTCAGGGGACATACATGTCAAACCACTGATGGCCCTGGTGGCCACCTCCAGGGAAGCGTTCCCCTTATTTTATGTACTTAGAAAAGGAATTTTAACAAAGTGCAAACATGTGTAGTTTTAAATTCCTTCCAGTGTTTCTATAATGAACATGGAATACTTCTTAAGTCAGAAAACTAAATTAAATGATCCAAACTGGGAATAGGGGATTCCTGTTTCCAAGGAACAGAGGATGGCATGAATAACTTTTTTAAGGCTCTTTAAAGCTATAGTTCTGTAATGGGTTGAGAAAACCAGCCCGTTCTAATCTCCCTCCTATCTAAAGAAGTCTGAGATATTAAAAAGAAAAAAACCCAGCAATTAAGTAGAAAAATGGACCAAGGGCATGAACACAGTTCACAGAAAAGGAAAAGCCAAATGTCCCTAACACTCAGGTGAAGAGCTTAATCTCCATCATGATAAGAGAAAAAGCAAATTAAACTAAGGTATCATCTGTCCTCTATCAGACTGACAGAAGTCCTCAAGTTAGATACCATTCTGTGGGCAACACAAGGAAATATCTCCTCCCACTGGTTGGATTGCAAAATGGTGTAATTCCCCGTGGAGGAGAATCTGGCACTACTTATCAAATTATATATTCTTTGAAGTAGCAATCTTCATTTTCTTGAAATTCAGACTACCCCTACATCTGTACATGTACAAAATTTTATGCACAATTACTCATCACAACCTTGTTTTCATGGTTGAAAAAAAAAATGGCAGCAACCCATCCGTAAAGAAGGCGGGTTAAATGCATTGTGATACGTCCACGTAATGGAACATGATTTGCTGTAAAAAAGTGAGGAGGAGCCTCCTCAAATGATAGGTAAAGATCTCCCCCGTGTACGATTAAGTAGAAAAGGATGAAACAGAACACTATAGATAATATGCTGTATTTTGCATAAAAAGGGAGGAGGGAGATACGAATGCGCATTTGCATAAAGAAACACCAGGAGGATTAAAAGAAGAAGAAGAAACTAATAAAAACATGTAAATGGTGAGTGGGGACAGGGATGGAAGAGTGAGATTTCACATGTGTTCACTTTTCTAGATGACTTTGACTTTTTGGAACCATGTCAATGTATTACCTGTGTCGACTGAGAAAAGAAGCAGAACCGAATCAAACAAACACATTCATTTTGGGTCTCAGAGTGGCAATTTGGGAGCACAGATTCAGGTGGCAACCCAAAATTTGACCCACTAGGGAACAGAAGTCAGGGTTTATTAAAGACAGAAGGGAACGCTTGTCTATGTTGTTTGCAGAGAATTCTGGTTGGTGTTGGCAACAGAAAACTAGTCCTGGCTAACCATAATTGCTTGTGAAGGCTATTACTGAGCAAAACTTCATTCCTATGCCAAATTGCAGGTGCTCCTGCAGAGGCATGGGAATATTTGCTGTTTGGCCCACTGCAAAAGTCCATGGTTCCACCCTGTGAGGAGTGTGCCTAAGGCCCACCTTAAGGGCCTCCCAGCTCCATTTTAAAACCCATTGATGTAAATGACTCCTTTTTATTGTACCTTCCAAGCCTTCAAAAATGAATTTAAATCGAGGGGAGGTGAAAGGGGCACAAAACTCTCTCAATGATGAGAACACGGATTGTACATGATGAGTACAGAGGGGAGGGGTGGAGAGGGTACCATACATTTCCAAAAGCCGTGTTATGTGATTTTGTTTAGCTCGTTAACTTTCTTCTTTGTGTCAATCTCTGTAGGTATTGAGAAATCATAACATACTTAATACTAGAACTTGAGCCCAAGATAATTCTCAGGGTTTTGTTGTTGAAGGAACAAACTAGAGTATTAGTTTCTTGATTGATTTTTCTTCTTGTTCCATCCTTTTACTTTATAATATGATTATAATTAATTATCACATGGTAAGCAGGCCAACAAATATCCGTGAAAGAATTTTCATGCCCAAAATCTCTACCTTTTACTACCCTGATAATGAAAAGACCTAACAAGTACCACATGATTTCACTTGTCTGTGGCATTTAAGAAACAAAACAAAGGAACAGAGGGAGAAAAAAAAAGACAAACCAAAAAACAGGCTCTTGACTACAGAGAACAAACGTGATTACCAGTGGGGAGGTGGGTGGGGGGGTGAGGGAAATGGGGGAAGGGGATTAGAGCACACTTAGGATGAGCACTGAGTAATGTATAGCCTTGTTGAATCACTATACTGTACACCTGGAGCTAATATAACACTGTATGTTAATAATCCTGGAATTAAAATTTTAAAAAAGTAATGAAAAGACCTGAAGAACTGAGATGTTTAGGAATCTTCAGAAAAGGCAAGCAACTCCCTCTCAAGAAAATGTTTTTGCCAAATTCATACTTGGTACAAAAGCTATAAAGGAGCATGCCTGAGCTGAAAGAGTCCATTGTCTAATCTGCTCTTTATGCTTTGGTTTTATGTGATTTAAATATAAGCTTGGAGACATGACAGCCCTCCCTTCGAGGGAAGCATGCTTGGCCAGGGTGTTGAACGCTAATTCACTGATTCTACTGAAGAATTTCCAAAAACCCATTTCTGCCTGGCAGGCTGAAGGAGTGTTAAGAGGGCCACTGTGGCTGGAGGAGAGTCAACAAGGGCCGGGGCGGGGGCACGGGGAGGAGATGTGGTCAAGAATGGCCTTACAGGTGCTTTGTTGGAGATGCCACCCGGGGAGAATGCATGCCGGAAGAGAAAGCTCCAACATTTGAACACCCAGGAAAGGAGACAAAGGACCACCCAAGTCAAAGATGGGAAAACCGTATCAGCTGAGAAAGCCACGGGAGGAAACTTTCCAGAGGAAATGTGACAAACTACTGAGAATTCAGAGGGGAAAAAAAGATTTTAAATATGCATTGGATTTGTGACGACAGCAGGTTTTAGAGGTGATCCCCACAAAGGGGAATCTGCAAAAACTGAGGCAGAATCCAGCTTAGAGTGGATTGATTCATTAGCGGAAAGTAAAGAAACAACAAGTGTAAGAAACTTGAGAAGTTGGCTTTGAAGGACAGGGAGAGAGAGAAGGGGTAGTTAGAGCAGGAAGTGCATGAGGGTAGATCGAGGCATAATTGTGGGGAAGAGGAAAGGAGACTTTTTTTTTTTAGTGGGGAAAGTGTGAGGCTGGGTGCTAATGAAGCTAGGTGTACAGTTTTTGTGGCAGGAAGTTCCTTTATAATAGCGTCTATACGTTCTATGAAGTAGAAGACAAGGTCTCTGCTCAAAGTTAGGGAAGTGATCGTGGCATCAAGG